GAGGACATGGCCCTTGATAGGGAATTATGGAGGTCGAGCATTAAGGTTGTAGGTTAGGGGAGAGGGTGAATATTTCTACAGCACAACTGAGAGAGACTATCTAGTTAGGAGTTAGACTAGGAATGTCAGTGGTCGTCTATTGATGCAGGGCTTTACCTTCTAGTTGTACTATACCAGCCATCTATTTCGTATTTCGTATTTCGTATCCTGTATTTCATATTTCGTATCTCCTATATATTGTTGTTATTTTATTACGCATTTTTATGGTACTAATATATTATCTCCTATTGCTTTTTTGAGCCGAGGGTCTCCTGGAAACAGCCTCTCTACCCTTCGGGGTAGGGGTAAGGTCTGCGTACATATTACCCTCCCCAGACCCCACTTGTGGGATTATACTGGGTCGTTGTTGTTGTTGTTGTTGTTTTAGAAATACACTCCTTCGCCTCTTATAGAATTTTATTTAGTTGTCTTCTTCCATAAGTTAAAATCCTAAATTACACTTGAGGGATGGCATACAGCTACACTGGCTTGCTTGATATACAAGATTATCTTATCATAATCAATTTGTGTACTTGAACAATTCCATTCAGATGACTCAGAACTTGTCTTAATTTGTTTAGTCAACATTAAATCTCTTCCCCCGAAAAAAAAAAACATCAAATCTCCAAGTATATTACTTTCTTGCTATCCTAATCAACCTCAAGAGCTTATCTTTCAGGAAAAAAGAATTAAATAGATGTTTTATATCATCAAACTGAGATATGAAAATCATGGGAGATCACGATTCAAACTCCAACATGCATATAAAATGTTAGGTATTTTTTTTTCTATCTATCCAAATTTTAGCGGACAAAGTTATTCGTGTAGCAAATATCTTGTCAAATAGTTAAAATTCGTGCAAGCTAGCTGGACACCACTAGACACCTTATAGGCCATTCATAAAAGCTGACCAGGACACCACAATTGTAGAACAATTACATAAAAATCGATTTATTATACATGAGTTACTTTGCTTGTTAGGCAAGATATTAGGATTTGCTCCATTCTATGTTGACTTATCTGTTATACCAAATAGTGTCTTGCACGTTTTCAAGATTTTCTGAAATCTTCGAAATATCATAAACTACAAAATAATTAATGAATGTTTCCTATTTTCAGGGTTTACCCACTTCTCCCCGCCCTTTTCGCTTTGCTTTGACTACACTAAATCTAATAAAAGAATGTAATATATTACTATTACTTTATTTTCTCACCACACACTTGGTCCATAGGCTACCACCCACTTGTTTCCAAATATATATCACTTTTAAAGGTTTTCCTTCAATTTAGCTCTCTTTCAACAACTATATAAAGAACATTTTGGACTTCATTATATTCCATTAATCACAAAGATTTTATATTAACAAGCCTTTAATTCGCATCAAAATTCAAAATCCTGCATTAAAAGAAAGCTTATTTCTTTTTCAAACATGGGAAAGAAAATGAGTTACATCCATAATTTGGTAGAGGTAGCTCCCTCTCCTTATATCTCTTGTCAAAAACCTTCAAATGCTCCCAAATTGGAAACCATTTTTGAAGAAGAATCTGAAAAATTGAACCTTGTTAACATGAAGATGATTTATATTCTTCCTATTCTCCTCTCTTTTGCCTCTTATGTGATGATCAACAAGTATGTCGTTTATTGATGTTAAAGAATCAAGAAACATCAATGCAAAACTCTCTATATATAGAAAGCTCATTGTCCCTATCCACCGTTAATTTCTCACGAGCCGTACCATGGCGCGCGGATGTAACAATGAGTTCGCGTGTTTGACAGATGCTATGCCAGAGCTTTTTGATAAGACCTATATATGTACAAGAAAAACAAATACTACGTACTATAAAAGAGTTAGATACACTTTTCAGAAGTTACTATCTCAACTCAGATTTTCAACGTCTAAACTCTAAATTCGCTATTGATATGTGGTTTATGAAACCTATGTTGATTCTTAAAAGTCATCATAATTTGAAGGGCTTGGATTGGATTAATCCATTGCAACATAAAATCAGGTGATTTTATTCCTTGGCAGTTGAAATTGAAGCATACCCTACAAATCATGAATTCTTGGATTGCAAGTTTTGGTGAGAAAAAGAATCTTTAATTGATGAGAAGAACTCGGACGAGAAAGATGATGTTTCTTGGCCATGGTAGAAGGAACTCGAAATGTAATGCTTTGAATGTGGGTGGGGGGTTAATTATCTTCACAAGAGGATACGTAAGGAGTACACTAGGCAGGTGGAACTAAGATTTAGACTTTATAGGTTGACGACGAAAGTGTTGAACAAAGTTTAATATTTATACTTATTTAACAAATTTCTTAACATAAACATACTTTGAGAAAAAGTTATTATATTCGACCGATTCTATTATCATACTTCTAGCTCCGCCCCACTTATTATTGCCCTTTTTTACTTTAATATCATTTATCTGGCGCACTTTCAAGAGAAAAAATCAGTAGTCCCTTAAATGTGGATCTTAATTCATTTTCGTCCGTCATATATCATGTGATACACTAACCTTTCAAATATACAGAACTGGCACACTTAGTTGAATAAAAATAGTTATCAACGAGTGCTAAAATTATTTTTCATGAATGAGTAATTACATGCAATTTTTGGATATATAAAAGCGTAGAAGCTAAGTTGTTAATATGTTTGGTAAAAATGTAATGATATAAGCTTTTTCTGTTAAAATAACTGATAATTTTTAAAGCTATTAATACTAAAAATGAGGTGATTCTTGCAAAATGTTTATTAATTTCTAAATTGATTCGCATGCAAATAAACTTATGTCTAGACTCACATTAGGTTCTAAATTGATAAATTAAGACTATATTTTCAGTCAGATATCCCTATTTCAAGTCGAATTAATTTGACAAGTAGCTGGGTATGAAACACCTAGTGGTTTTAAATTTTAATTTTTTTTTTTTTAAAAAAAACAATACTTGTCCATTACAAATAACCTTATCCTGATTGGAAACGCCTTATAAAAGTCAAATTCTATGATTAACACTTGAGAAAGTTAAAGTCAACCAGGCTCACATAGAAAGCCATGCTAGGAGTTTTACTGTCCGCAGAACCTAAAGCCAAAATGAGTTTATATTTTATACAATGAAAAAATAAAATTATTAATTATATGATCAATCAATTATTAGATAATTATAATTACATTAATTGTTAATCTGATAAAATGAATACTAATTTACTACACAGTAGAATAATGTATACTTCACTTTTGAAAGCTTTGAGTAACCAGATTAACAATTAATGCAATTATAACTATTAATTAACTATTAAGGGGTCGTTTGGTTCGGAACAAGGATATCCCAAGTATAATCCTGCATCCTAAAATAGATAATATTAAGATTTTGGTATAAAATTACACCAATTTTAGCTAATACTAGTAATCAAATACGGGATAATATAATCCCAAATTTTATACGGAATTAATATCCTAATCCTAGTAACTAAACGCCCCTTAAGTATATATCTTGATGTCTAGGCTCTAGTTCAACCAATTTAATCCATTTCTTCTGTTAAGAACTGCTCCCTCGTTTACTTTTACTTGTCTACTATACTAAAAATATATTTTCACACTATAACAAATTAAGAGAAAGATAATTTTTTTTTCTGTTTTACCCTTATCATTAATTACTCATTCCCTAAATCATTTCCAAGACTTATGGAAATGTTATCATTTATTATGAGTAAAATTGTAAAATATTTATTTCATATTGTTTCTTAAAGGACATAAAAAATCTAAAGTAGACAACTAAAAGTGAACGAATGGAGTAATTATAATCGGCTGCAAAGAGGAAAACCTACTCCGTTCACACCAAGTTATAAGTTAATTTCACTCTATGAGAGACATTGATATGAGCTAGCTAGAATTTTCTATTTGTTTTTCTTTTCATAGTTGTCAAGGTGCTACATTCTAATATTTGAAGTTATTTTTTCATTTTTTTTTTCACTAATGATGCGTTATAAGATTTTTTTTTCGTTGGATTTTCTTTAGGCCAAATACATAGACAGGCACCGAAATTTGGCAACACTTTTCACAGGGACGCTTAAGTTAGCCTATTTTCTATTAGACACCGAAACTCATTTTAAGTTGTGTTAATAAAATACAAAATAATGGCATGGCAAAGAAAGTGTTCTTCACTCTCCTTGAGTGCGTGAATAAATAAAATAATAATAATTTCCTTATTTTTCTCCCCTTAAAATATTCGGACTTTCTCTCTCCATTACTGCCATCGTCCTCCCGCGCGCCATAGTCACCACTGCCTGTTGCCGCTCGTCGTGGCAATTTTCTTCGTTTTTAGACTTGTCCATCACCACCATTATCTACCATGAAGCTAGTAAGGAGTTCCATTAACCCGTTAAATGAAATCTTATCACTCTCATCAATCCTTTCCCACTTCCAGGAAATCTCAAGAGATAGACATTCTCAAAGACGGAAAGTTTAACCTTTGCAAAACCAAAGTTAAGATTTCTAACAATTTATTAAATAACAAAATAAATCTTTGAAGAAAAGCGGATAATTAAGCTTTATAAGACGTGAAAGTGCGAGGTTTATGAAAAGAGAAATTTGACGGCTAAAGATGCACTAATCTTTAAGATTTTCCAACAAAGTTTTCCGACAAAATTTTTCAGCAAAAATTCTTTTTTCACTAACTAGGAGACAAGGGAAAGAGCCATGTTGTTTCGTTTATCTGTTTGGAATAGCCGACAAGGGGTTGTGCGGGTAGGTTATGCGAAGAAGACAAAGAAGAGGGGGCAGGGATGACGTCTGTCGACGGGATTAGAGCCACTGGTGGGTGGGAGACAGTGACAATTTGGGGACGAAGGGGTTTTTTGTTACTTTTATATTTTTTCTCAAAAAATTTTAAATTTTTTTTGTGTCAAAGCCACGTGTCTTTTTTTTTTAATTGGACTATTTTGCCATGTCATGTGCGTGTAATCCACACAATATATTCTTTTGGCTTATTAGTATTTTTGTGTTTAATTAGTACAGTTTGAAATGAGTTCCAGTGTCTAATAGGAAATAGGCTAACTTTAATTGTCCAAGTGAAAAGTGCTGCCAAGTTCCGGTGCCTGTCTATATATTTGTGTTGGAGCCCAATCTTTACCTGAGGCCCAGCATGCTCCAGCCCAAGATACCAAGGCAGGCCCATCTTGAAGACCTGGAATACACTTTAACATGTAGTAGTATTTATCTTTGTATGTTTAACCATCTTTGTAACATGTAGCCTTTATTTTCAGTTAGTGTATAGATAGATAGTTTAGGCTAATAGATGAACAGAGAACTCAATTCATATGGAACCGTCTCTGTTCAATAAAAGGTTCTCCTTTTTCTCTCTTTCTCTTCGAAGTTAGGGTTCTTTGTCAATTTTGTTCTCATATTGCTTCGATTCCTTGATTGTAACATGGTATCAGAGTAAGGTTTGTGCTCTCCGTGACCTCCGTGACCTCCGCTATCGTCCGATGCTACTCTTCACAACTGATTTTAGAGTATTCGTCTTCCGGCGTGATGTTTCACGATTGTTTCTAGTGAGATTTTCCTGTTTCAATTGCAGTGATGTGTTGATATTTCCAGTGAATGTGTGTTGTGATTATTGAAGATTTTTGCTTCTTCGACTGATTGAAGAAGACCGGTACTCTTCTCTATTTTCTGGATTAGTAATTGTTTCCGTAGATTTGGTGCCCTAATTTTTAGAGAATTTCAATTTCGGATTTTTCATAATGGTGAATATTGAGACTACTTCTACTGGTTCTATTTCAACATCTATTGAACCTTCTCACCCGTTGTATCTCTATCCGACTGATAACCCTGGCACGATCATTGTTGCTGATAGATTTAATGGGATGGGTTATGGAAGTTGGAGACGAGGGATGTTGATTGGCTTATCTTGTAAGAATAAACTGGGAATAATAAACGGGACAATTACTAAACCTAGTGCAACTTCGCCACTGTTTGAGGCGTGGTGTCGATGTAATAATATGGTGATTGCGTGGATTCTGAATAGCTTAGAAGTTGAAATTAGAGAAAGCGTTATGTACACTGAATCAGCTGCTAAGTTGTGGAACGACATAAAGAAACGTTATGGTCAACCTAATGGATCCAAGGTCTATCAAATTTGTAAGGCTTTGTCTTTCATTTCTCAAGGAAATTCAAATGTTGCTTCTTAATTCTCTATGATAAAGAAACTGTGGGATGAATTAGCTTACTCGATACATATCCTGATTGTGTGTGTGGCTGCAAGGAAGCTTTTCAAAAATTGGAAGAGGATCAGAAACTTCATCAGTTTTTAATGGGACTTAATGACACTTATAGCCCGATTCAGAGAAATATTTTGGCGATGAAGCCCCTACCAGACATTGACACTATCTATTCCATGTTGCTTAATGATGAAAGTCAATGTGAGACTCAGCTTTCAGCTCCTTTATTCTTTGCTGAATCTACCTCATTCCCTGCTAGTGTGCAAAGGCCATATGCAGGACCATCTCCTGCTGGAATGCAAAAGACTTATTCTCAGAAGGTTAACTTTGATACTAAGAAGACTAATATGGTGTGTAGATATTGCAAAAATTCGGGTCATACTATTGAAAAATGCTACAAGTTGATTGGATATCCTAATAATCCTCAACCTATTAGATTCAGAAAAACTGCGGCTTATGCACATGTTTCAGAGTCTCAGAACATGGGCCAAGCAGAGAACTTTGTTGCTGACAATCGAGTTGAATAGTCTGAGTCCAAGAGTCATGGTTTCACAAAGGAACAATACGAACATTTGCTAAATCTGTTTCAACAGACCAAGGTGCCTACACAGGATAACACTACTGCTGGATCTGCTAATTTTGCAGTTTTGTTTCACTGTCTTGATGTTAGAAATTGTTGTGTCTTTGCTTGTAATTTGTCTAAATTAGATGGTGATCATTGGATAATAGACTCTGGTGCAACTAATCATATGACACCTCAGAAATCTCTATTAATCAATCTTAAACCTTTAACCATTCCTTACTTGGTAATTCTCCCTAATGGTTACAGAGTCAAAGTGACATGTTCAAGCTCTCTTCCTTTGTTTAATGGTCTAGTTTTACAAAATGTTTTACTTGTGCCCTCCTTCAAATACAATTTGATTTCCTTGCATCAACTTTTATTGCAACTCTGTTGTAATGCTCTTTTCTCTCCCTATGATTGTGTTTTACAGGGCCCTTCTCTGAAGAGGCCACTGGTTCTTGGTAAAATCTCTAATGGATTGTACATATTCCAGAGTGACTCTCCTTCATCATCCTACATTCCTGCTCTTTCAACTGGTGATGCTAGTTCTAATGTTTCTGTTAATTCTGGTTGTGTTCCATTTGTTTTTTCTTCCATACACACTGTAAATGCCATTGAAGCAAATAAAACTGTTACCAGTTGTGTGCATTATGCTTCTCCTGCTTATGATTTTGATATGTTCGGCACCTTAGACTTGGTCACATGCCTTTTCATAAAATGAAATCTCTTTCCTACATTAAAGACAAACTATTTAAAAAACAGTCATTTATTTGTGATGTTTGTCTCATGGCTAGGCAGTAAAGACTTTCTTTCCCTGACAGCTCCATTAAATCTACCACCCATTTTCAACTTGTACATGTAGATTTGTGGGGACCTTACCATACTCAAACTTACAATGGATTTAGATATTTTTTAACCATAGTAGATGATTTTTCCAGGGCTACTTGGACTCATTTGCTTTCCACCAAATCCAATGCTTTTGCTATATTGAAGTCATTCATATTCTTGGTGCATAACCAATTCAATTCTTCTATCAAAACACTTCGATCTGATAATGCATTTGAACTAGGTTCAAGTGCTGCAGTTGTTTCTTTCTTTTCATCTCAGGGTATTATACACCAAACTTCCTGTCCACATACTCCCCAACAAAATGGGGTAGTGGAGAGGAAGCATAAACACTTGCTAGAAACTGCTAGGTCTTTGTTATTTCAATCTAATCTACCCCTTAAATACTGGGGATAATGTATTCTTACTGCCACTTACCTCATTAATCGTTTTCCCTCTCCCTTGTTACAACACAAAACACCTTACGAACTACTATTTGGATCACCTCCTGCATATGCTCACCTCAAAGTTTTTGGGTGTTTGTGTTTTGTTGCTGTACCTAAACCTTATAGGGACAAATTTAAATCAAGGACTATTTCTTGTGTGTTTCTTGGCTATAGCATGACAAATAAGGCATATAAATTGTTAAACCTAACAAGGCATAATGTTTACTTTTAATGGATGTTATATTTCATGAGTCTATTTTTCCATATTCTTCTTCTGTTCCTTACTTTTTCCCTCCTGATGTTTCCCCTCCTCCTGCTACTACTGATGCATTTTCCTCCACTCCTACTCCTCCTTTTCCCACCTTTGATTCTTCCCCAACTGCCTCTGTACTTGCTCCTTCATCTTTACACTCTCCAGAGTTTACTACTTCTCTTGTACCTTTACGAAGATCTTCCAGGCCCTCAAATCTTCCCACTTATCTTAAAGATTATGTTTGCACTAATGCTTCTGTCTCCAAGGATCCTATGACTACTTCTGACAATTGTTTGCTTGAGCCACATTTTTATCATCAAGTTGTGGTTCACCCTGCTTGGCAGGATGCCATGTTGAAAGAATTTCAAACTTTAGAAGCAAATAACACCTGGACCATCATGCCTTTGCCTCCGGGTAAAAAGGTGATCTCCTCTAAATGGGTATATAAAATTAAACAAAGGGCTGATGGTAGCATAGAGAGGCATAAAGCTAGACTTGTTATAAGGGGAGACACTCAACAAGAGGGAATAGACTTTAATGAAACTTTTTCTCCAGTTGTCAAACTTACAACCATTAAGTGTCTGTTAAGTGTTGTTGTTAAGAGGAATTGGGCAATTTTTCAGTTAGACGTTAATAATGCATTTTTGCATGGTGACTTGGATGAGGAGGTTTACATGAAAGTACCTCTTGGACTGGAAGTGATTGCTTCTGATCCTTCTGTAAATCTAGTTTGCAAGCTTAATAAATCCCTCTATGGCCTTCGCCAAGCTTCAAGACAGCAGTATGCAAAGCTATCCACTGCTCTTCAGTCCAAAGGATATGTTTCCAGTAAGAATGACTATTCTCTTTTCACTAAATTGTCTGGCTCTTCTCTTACCATTGTGGCTATATATGTAGATGATATTTTGTTAACTAGAGATGATTTGAGTGAAATTACTACTCTAAAGCAATTTTTGGATGCTCAATTTCGGATTAAAGATTTGGGAGAGGCACATTTTTTTTTGGGGTTGCAGATTGTTAAACACCCTCAGGGACTGCTTGTTACTCAATAGAAATTTCTCTTGGACCTTCTTTCTGAATTTAATTGTCTTCATGTGAGTCCTGTGGTCTCTCCTTTGGATACTCATGTTAAATTGTTTGCTGATTTTGGAGATCACCTTCCTGATCCGTCTTTGTATCGAAAGTTGATTGGGAAGTTGAATTTTCTTCAACACACTAGGCCTGATATCTCCTATAGTGTATAACACCTCAGTCAGTTTATATCACAACCCCGGATTCCCCATTTTGAAGCTGGTTTACATGTGTTAAGATATTTGGTAGGCACTTCTGATTTGGGTTTGTTGTTCAATAATTCTTCCTCCTTTGATTTGCTTGGGTTTTGTGATTCCGATTTGGGAAGTTGCTCTACATCTCGAAAGTCTGTGAGTGGTTTTTTATTACAATTAGGAGGTTGCCCTATCTCTTATAAATCTAAAAAGCAGGCTACCATAGCTCTTTCTTCTGCTGAAGCCGAATATAGAGCTTTAAGACAACTAGTGGCAGAAATTGTTTGGGTTGTTCGCCTAGTTAGTGAGTTTGGGGTTGCTTCTTTATGTCCTATTCCAGTGTTCTGTGACAATCACTCTGCTATTCACATTGCCCGCAATCCTGTCTTCCATGAACGTATAAAACATATCGAGATAGATTGTCATTTTGTGCGTGAAAAGCTTCAATCTGGGCTCATTACTTTGCATGCTATTCCTACTAGTTTGCAGTTGGCTGATATTTTTACTAAGGCTTTACCAGGTGCTCACCATTGTACGTTCCTTTCCAAGCTTGGACTGGTGGCCCATTCTAGCTTGCGGGGGGGTGTTGGAGCCCAGCCTTTACCTGAGGCCCAGCATGCTCCAGCCCAAGATACTAAGGTAGGCCCATCTTGAAGACCTGGAATACACTTTAACATGTAATAGTATTTATCTTTGTATGTTTAACCATCTTTGTAACATGTAGCCTTTATTTTCAGTTAGTATATAGATAGATAGTTTAGGCTAATAGATGAACAGAGAACTCAATTCATATGGAACCAACTCTGTTCAATAAAAGGTTCTCTTTTTTCTCTCTCTCTCTCTCTCTCTCTTCGAAGTTAGGGTTCTTTGTCAATTTTGATCTCAGATTGCTTCGATTCCTTGATTGTAACAATTTGGCCTTTTCTTTAACATCATATGGAAAAGACATCTTAAATAGTCATGGTAAAATGATAAAATCAATAAGTAAAAAATAATGATCATGTCATATTATTAATTTGTTTGGAATAAATACGGGGTGTAAGTAAGTCTTACTTCTATAAATATAAGTTTTTTTTATTTTTTGAAACTTATGGGGTAAACAAATGTTACATGGATACATTATACACTATACTTGGTCAAAGAAGGGAATATTTGCTTCTCATTTCTGTCCACTAGTCAAAATGAAAAAATAATTAGGAAAAAATTGGAATTAGTAAAAAAACGTAAAGAAGCTGAGCATTGTATTGGGAAAAATTACATTTATATAAAGATGACGTGTCGAGACACATGGACTGGTCAAATAGGCAAAGAATTACAATTCATCAAGAGTCACGAGCAGTAATAGAAACGATCAAGGACAAAGGAAGAGGCACGGGTGGCCATACCTGTTTAAGTCATTTATATCCAAGAATCAAAAGGAATGGATCTGACCATAGTAAAGAGCGCAGATACAGAATTTGACAGGCATTAAATACTGGATACGTTAAAGAATTTGTATTGATTATAATGATTATGTAACGTAGCACTCAATGTCTTTAATTATTCATAATAGCCTCATTATGATTTGGGGAAAACGCATATCTTCAAGATACCTATAAAAGGGAGGTATCTGATCAATTGTAAGGACAAGAGATATTATCGTAATATACTTTGATTTACTTATTTTTTCTCCTGATTACACTCTAATTACCTCAAAATACTTTCCTTTGCATATTCTTTTGATTATCATTAACTCGTGTTCTTCTAAATTCTAGCTTTGACTGAAATTCTATTTTTTGGTTAAACAAATTGGTTCTGTTGCCGGGAATCTGATAATCTATTTTCTTTTCACTTAACCTTCCTTTTTGCATCAATTATGTCGAATAACAATGACAACACCCCAGGAAACTAAGAGAACCAACAAAATCAGGGAGGTCCACAGAATATTAACATTCAAGTTCCTACTCCGCAAGACTCTCCGCGGCAATCTCGTGAGGGTACTCCTGATGGGTCTCAAATAAACGAGTTTGCTCAATTTGAAAATGCTGAAGTTGTTGATGAAACTTTGCAGAAATTAATTGCTGCTCAGGTCAACAAAGCTGTTGAGGCACTCGTTAACCAGTTACCTATTGCAACACCCACACCTACTCCAAATAATAACACTATGGAAAACCCTTGTTCTGGGCTTGTTAATTCAGGTAGCGGTGGAACTCCCAGTAAATCACAGGAGAGAGAACCAGGTAATGTAATTAATTCTGATTTACAAAATTTAGTACTAACCTTGCAGAAACAGCTCAAGGAGCAAAGTGAGCGCATAAAGCAGATGCCCGGTGTGCCGCCCATAATCAAAAGGGTAGATATGGATAGATATTCGCAAAAACCCTGGAAGTCAAGTGTTGCTCCACTCCCAATACCAAAAAAGTTCAAAATGCCTGATATTTCAAAGTATGATGGAACAACAGACCCACGAGATCACGTGACTGCGTTCACAATGGGTGTAAAAGGCAACAATTTGACTAAGCAGGAGATTGAATCAGTTTTAGTCAAAAAAAAATTGGTGAAACACTCACCAAAGGAGCGTTAACATGGTATTCTCTTTTACCCGATAATTCTATAAATTCTTTTGCTGAGCTTGCAGATTCTTTCATTAAAGCACACTCGGGAGCTCAAAAGGTAGAGAAAAGAATGGAGGATATTTTTAAAATCAAGCAAGGGGACTCTGAACTGCTTAGAGAATTCATGGACAGATTTCAACTTGAAAGAATAACATTGCCACGCGTACCTGACAACTGGGCAGCGATAGCTTTCACAAGTAATTTGAATGAAAAGAGTTCGGAAGCTATGAGGAGACTTAAGGAAAGCCTTCGAGAATTCCCAACTACAACGTGGAATGATGTTTATAATAGGTATAGCACGAAGTTGAGGATTGAGGAAGATATTGTTCCGCAATTCC